ATTATAATAACATACAGGAATTCATTTGGTCATACAATGTCAGTTCTGGTCATAAATACAGCAGCACAACTAATTTATAGGATATCAGTTCTGGTCATAAATACAGCAGTACAATTAATTTATACGATATCAGTTCTGGTAATAAGTACAACAGCACAATATTCCCTCTATGACTAGTGGTTACTGTTAATGCAATGCAGATATGTCACTTAGCTATGTATCACATTCACGGTGAAACAGTCTCAATGCAGATCAAACTCATATATAGATTAACGTAGACTTGACGATCCAGAGCATATGATGAGTTACATACAGGGTAGTCTGGTAACTGTAGTCTTCTGTCATTCAAGGAATCAAGAATACCGGATTTTAAGTCACTGGCTGGTTAGTTGTAAGTCTTTAATCTAATGGCTGCATGAGAAAATCAACAAAAGAACTAGAGATGGCAGTTTGGCGACTATACAAACGCTGAATTTTCTCATTTGAAAATATAATTACACTGTGATAAGTACAATAATAAAACTAGAAACTACATAGTATTACCATCACCTTGTTTAACAGATTACGAAATATAACTTATGAAATGTTGCCTCTCAGTCCCAATATGTATAGAATTATATGGTTACAATAATAGTAGCACAGCAATACACTTGTTTACACTAGATAACTGGTCAAGAAAAAAGTAGTATTTGACAATCTTTTTATGTGCAACTAATTTACACAAAATATATGCACAATATGAAATTACTTACTTACATGAGAATTCTTTCACACACTTTACGCTCAACAACGGATGGTCTAGAGGCCGGTTCCACTGAACCCTGCCTAGAGTTATCTCCAGCAACACCACACCACCACACTGGCCACACCCAGTACTCAGCCACGCTGCCTGTGTCAAATTGACCGAACTTACTTCCACTTGAATAGCAGAAAACTGGCCCAGAGAGCACTAGAGCGCAGTACACCAATATATGGTTACAGCGACTGCCTAAAAAAGCTATGGTGCGGAATGTCTTCTAACCCACTGAGCAGAGCAACCTGACATGTTGCTCCTTTAAAGTCCAAAACGAAGTGTGTTTCTAACAGCACTACACTGTACTGGTTAAAACAAGAATACTCATTAGCATAACAATGCATAATACAGCTACCACCCCAGCTACGTGGGCACCTGTAATTCCAGTGCTACCCATAATATGACATGATATAAGACAGGAATATCTGTCAATTGCAGAATGTATTATCTACTGTTGTCGCCGTGGTAAAAGTTCTTCCACCCTTTCACATTGGTCTTATGTTACAACAGCAACACAAATATGGTAGCAGAAACCTTATCCAGACTCTCAACTCATATGGAATGTGTGCAAGCTATGATGAACTCAGTGCATTCCTTACAGCGGCTGCAGAAGACCAGATATCGCACATGGAAAATGGAATCTATGTACCAGCAGGAATTATTCCAAGGACAAAAGGTGGTGCTCTTATTCAAGAAGGTGATGATAACATTGATGTTAATGTTGAAACTATTGATGACAAAAATACATATCACTCAATGGCCAGAGTACTTTTTCAAGCACATTCCCTAGAAGCAGACCAGTGGCCACCGATTTCAAAACTGTCACACTCTACTCACAAAACTCTTGAATGTATGGATGGTTCATTTTCACAGATTCTTGCATTTGAAAAGCCAAAACAGCGTGCAGAACCTAAACGAATTGCAAATGCACTGGAAGTGGTCAATGAACAACTAGAAATATTTGTCAATGAGCCATTAAAGACATTTTATGGGTCTTACTATGCCAATTATCCAGAAATATTTTAACACTGCCACAAGGAGTGCATTATGCACACAGCCAGGTGATTCCATTCTGGATAGGTTTTAATACCAAAGCAACACCAGTCAACATAAATGCAGTGACAGTTGCAGCATACGCGCCATCAATTGAAGCTCCACCATCAGACATGGCTACAGTTTATACTACTCTGAAAAGGGGTAAATCTGTTGCTGATGCATGTGGACAGGATTGCCACATCCACACATTTGATCAACAGTTATATGCAATTGCACAGATGGTAAAGCTGAGTAAGCCAGATGAATTCCCAATCTTGTTGTACGTCTAGCAGACTCAGGAGTCTATGCACCAAACACTGTAGAGAGAATGTTGCCAGGAAAGCAATTTCCCCAGGCCACAAGAGGGCTAACATTGGTATATGAGGCGCTCATGCAATTGTTTACTAATTGTTTATTAGTAATTGAACTGAGGCTTTTGCTGGAGGTCAGTTTTCAGTAAAGTAACCTCTGGTAAATTCAAGGGAATATGGAGTCATATGGGTATAGAAACAACCATCATTAGACACAGTAAAAGTGACAGTGGTATAATTGGATTGACAAGAAGAGGTTCAACAGTTCTACGATGGACAACTACGCGACATATCTTGGGTCATTATGCTGAGTCAATGCATCTTCGTAGTGGGTTAAGCCTTACCAAGTCTAGCAGCCATGCGCAAGCAATGCCCGCAATGATTAAAAGAGATGAGGTTGACACACAGCAGATAGTGAATTACATAGAAGACAACATGACAGACCCATTTGATGCCAACTCACATCTATGACTACTTGTAAATATAGGCAGTGGTCTGGTTGTGACACCTGACATCAGCAATTCACTTCTTAATGCAGTAGTTAAAGGCTCGACCATGCTGAGTAACTTTGTGACTTCTTGTCTTACGATACATTCTGAGAACCCCAAATCATTCTATGACACAATTACCAAGTCAGGTTTTAAGACATTCAAAGACATGAAGAAAACATCAAAGGTGAATAGCAGTTTCACCTGAGTTGATTTACCAAAGAGCTCTAACATTAGCACAAGTGCGTCCAGAAGTGAATCTGGCTACAGTACTTAGTTACCCTGTTACAGCAGTTCCACCGACTCTTTTCAAAGAAGATTGCAGTAGACGAATGACTACAAAAGCTGACTTTCTTCATGCCCTTGAAGACTGTGTCAAAGAGTCTGTGTCAGAACTTCTTGAAAATGACAGTGATGTGTCTGCCCATATTGTGGATGCTATGGCTCTATTGCAACAGTTGAATATGAAAAGTATGAAGATACTTGATGACCTTGGAGAATCCTGTCTTAAAAAGATAGTAAGGCTTTTTGAAAAGTCAAAAGAGGTTCGCTTTGTATTCGACTGATATGATGATAAACATTCTCCAAAGTGCGAAGAACAATCACGTCGACAGGGTGCAGGAAGCACCCACAAATATTAAGTTGCTGGCAAGAGGCCACTACCAGACTGAAAGAACTTATGGGTGTTTCATCAAAGAAAGCAGAATTATCTTTCAGTATATCTTGAGGAAAATGTAGCAAAACATA